TGAACAATATAGTTATTAGAAATATATTTAAAAAGTGTTAAAATCCCCAAAATGTATACTTTGCACTTTTCCTACAAACTTAATTTTTGAATAATAAATCATTGTCTCCAATCCTGCTGTCATCACATCAAGCATTTTAGAAAACAATTGCATTTTTGTGGAAAAAAGTATTTTTAGTAGGCTAGTAAAAATCATTTTAATTCAAAAACATAAACAGTGCAATTCAGAACTGGTTTTATCAATAAAGTGACAGCTAGCTTATCCTCTTTTCCTTAAAAAAAGTAAAAAAGTAAGAAAAGTGATGCTTATAATAAATCCACGTCATCACTTTTACTAAAATCTGTGATCAAGGCCGCTTATTCAAGGACATACTAAAAAAAAATGTTTTTTAAATTAGATGAAAAAATCTGAAGAAGTTTCATTTTGCAAGATTTCAAGTTGTCAAAAAGTGGCCCTAATTGAAGAATTACTAACATCTAGCTTTACAAATATTAACATTTTCTCTTAAAAATGGAAGAGTAGCCAAATATAATAACACTACCTTTTTCAATAAGTTCCATTTTTAATAAGTTTTAAGTCATAAAGAAGGGCCCAAGATTTAATTCAAGCAAAATGAAGGAATTTCTTTACAGATTGAACATAATTACTGTTTTGCACCTGAAAAAAAAATGATTGCACCTGCATTGCCATGAATGTAAAAACACATGCACAACTTCCTGATGCATGATAAAACGAGGAAACGGCCTTGTGTGAAAGTCACACACATGTGATGGCTTGAGCAGCCCGACTCATTTTATATTTTCTCTCTATAAAATATACGACCCTTCCCTCTCAGGCTTTTATCCCATGTGGAAAAATTATGGACGACTGCAGATCACAAATGGCACTCATATCGTGTGCACGTCACAGGGGAAATGTAAAATATTAAAATACACGAGGTGGGGTGTGTAGCATTTACTTTAGGGAAATGAAAAATGAATGGAGTGATACTTTAGCTTAATTTAGTTTACCTGTCGAGAGCGTGAGGTTGTGCTGACAGAACAAAATCAGTGTCTTTCAGATCGTCTTGACAACAGACTTCATCATTTTTGCTGAATGACTTTTAAATGATGGTGTTTTGGTGATTTTAAGTGAATGTATGAAATCAGTTCTCCTTAAGTTCATCGCGTTAACTATAAAAATGTTTACACACATTCTTCAGAATATCATCTTTTGTGTTCAGCAGAAAAACAGAAACTCATACAGGTTTGATACAACTTGAAGGTAAGTTAATGATGACAGAATTGTAATTTTTGGTGAAATATCCATTTAACGTATTGCCTAATGTTCAAATAACCAAGAAGAAATGTGTGTTTTGTTTTTTTTTACATTTAAAAAACTGGATGTTTTGAACATTCAGAGAACATTCAGAAAATGTTAATACTTACTAGTTTCACATGGTTCAAAGAACATTCAAAAGCAACTTTCCCATAATGTTTGCAAATGGAACGTTCCCTTAATGTTTCTCTAACGTTCTCTAAATAATTTTTTAAACATTTAAAAAACTGAACGTTTGGAACGGTTAGAGAACATTTAGAAAGATGCTTCAAAGAACATTCAAAAGTATTTTTCCCATTATGTTTGCAAAATGATAAAATGGAATGTTCCCTTAATATTTCTCTAACATTCAGTGAACATTCTTAACTTAACAGGAACATCAGTATAATGTTCTTATTATTGTTAGCTGGGCTAATGCTTCATAAGTTGCACAATCCTTTTTGTCTTCATTTTTAGCACTAGATCACTTTTTTTTAACTAGATCTAATGCATTTCTTTTTGTTTTGCTTGTAAAGTTTTTTTGCTATTTTTCTTCATAAAAGACAACGTGCACACTCAAAATGCACTAACATTAGCTGAATGCTTTTGGCTCCACTACTCACCAAGCGCAGTAAACATTTGCTCAAGAAACGTACATTGTGCTTTTAGTTCTACACCGACATAGAAGTACATAAGCAGGGAAGGAACGCCGGGGATTTAAATCAATTATGCTCCATTCTCATGTCCATTTTCCAGGCCACTGATCCATGCCGCCCGTCTCTGACAGTCCTCTACAGCCTACAGGGTAAGCAAGCTGAACACAAGCCGCCTGGGCAGAGAGAGTGTAATGATCCCACCACAGTCAAGCGCATCTTAACCACTGTGCAGCCCAGTTAATTGCACAACTTGCTGCTTTAGTGAAAACGAACACGAACAGCAGCAAATGCACACGGAATATGTACTATATGTGTAAACAGATGGATATTTCAGATGCATGTCTGCAATTATATTTAGATCACTTTTTAGACATGTTCATGGTTTTCTAATACCTTGATACACACTTCATAATTCCAGTATATTATAAATATTAAAATGGTGATCATGTAACAAGATCACAAGATGTTAATTGATGGACTGGTGTGGTGTTGATTACTAGTGGATTATTGTGTTGTTTTAATCAGCTGTTTGGACTCTCATTCTGACG